ACGGCTACTTCGAGAGGGACCGCACACTACCTTTATACAAAGATAAGCCATTCTTTTCGCCTCGGCGCACAGGCCCTCGAAGGAGATGGAGGCCGTTCCTGAACGTGCTGGGGGTGTGTACGGTATTATTTGTGTTGTATTATAATTTCTATCTCCGCACATGGTCGGGGCTACAGTCAAACGATAAGGGGGTAGAATTATGGAAATGGGCCCAAACATTGGAAGAGGGCAAAACTTCCGGGGACTTATCTGACTGGACTGCGAGACGAGAGAAAGTGCGGGACGCCTTCATCGTCAGTTGGGAGGGATATGAGAGGAACGCATGGGGTAAGTCATACAGAAACCTTGTGTACTATATGACAGTGCTAACACTATTATTCAGGATACGATCAGTATCGCCCAGTATCGAACGTTAACCAGGAAGACACGAGTGGCGGATTAGGCTGGATGATAGTCGACTCGCTGGACACGCTGATGATCATGAATCTGACTTCGAAGGTCCACCGCGCGCGGCAATGGATCTCGACATCGCTGAATTATGATCAGGACCGTGATGTTAATACGTTCGAAACGACTATCCGCATGCTGGGTGGTTTGCTGTCTGCACACTATCTGTCAACCCAATACCCCGATTTGGCACCACTCAGCGACGATGATGTTGGTGCTGCCGGTGAAGACCTGTACATCGAGAAAGCAGCTGACCTCGCTGAGCGGCTACTTGGGGCTTTCGAGTCCCCAAGCGGTATCCCATGGTCGAATGTCAATCTCAACACGTCAGAAGGTGTTGTCGTGCATTTCGACGAGGGAGCTACGTCTATTTCTGAGGCTGGCTCGATACAGCTTGAGTTTAAGTACTTGGCCAAGTTGACCGGCGAAGCGGAATATTGGAAGTTGGTTGAAAGAACGATGAAGCTGGTCGACCTACAAAAACCGCAAGATGGCCTTGTCCGAACAGCCATCCATCCTGACAGTGGTGCATTCAAAGGAGACAGCATTAGTCTGGGTAATAAGGCAGATTCTTACTATGGTATGTCGATAATACTCGGTGCTCTATGGATCTTTTTATGCTGACTCGCTCCAGAATATCTCATCAAGCAATACCTACAGACCTCAGAACAGGAGCCCGTCTACAAAGAGATGTGGGATGAGGCACTGAGGGGCATCCGCAAGCACTTAGTCTCATTCACGAAGAACTCTCAATTGATGGTTATCGGCGAGCGGCCCCAGGGCCTAGACCAGGACCTGTCACCCAGAATGGACCACCTAGTCTGTTTCATGCCCGGAACAATCGCGCTCGGCGCGACCGGTGGCCAACCCTTGGCCCAAGCCCGAAAGTCGGCAGGTTGGACTCAACAACGCGAGGAAGAGATTCTCATGTCCAGAGAATTGATGAAGACCTGCTGGGCAATGCACCAGGCAACGGCAACCGGCCTTGCAGCTGAGATATCCCACTTCGTTCTAGACTCGCCACCCGTGATGATGGCAGACAAGTACCCAGATTCAACGACGGACCCCAACCGCGCATCCAAACCCGAGGCACTGCGCGGCATTTCCAAGCCTATAGAGGCGCAAAGTGATGCGTCCGAGCCCTGGCGCGCGGACATTGACGTCCGCCGCAACGACCGCCACAACCTACAACGCCCGGAAACAGTTGAGTCCCTCTTCTATCTCTACCGTATCACCGGCGACGACATCTACCGCCAGTGGGGCTGGGAGATCTTCAAGTCTTTCATCAAACACACATCTGTGGTCGAGAAGAAGAGTACATCTCGTATTCCCACATCAACCAGCACAGCACCGGTATTCCGTATCAAGGGCTTTACATCTCTCGGAAACGCAGATGCAGTCCCTCCGTACAAGCGCGATAATATGGAAAGCTATTGGATGGCTGAGACGCTTAAGTATTTCTACTTGTTGTTCTCGGATCGTGATTTCATCTCGCTGGAGGATCATGTTTTCAATACTGAGGCCCATCCATTCCCGCGGTTTAAACCTAGTGGGGATCTTAAGACGGGATGGGAGAGGGCGTCTAGGCAATAGATTTGCTGGGTGGCGCCTTGGTTGATTATGGCTTTCATGTCTCTTATATGTTCTGTACAGCGCTTTTTTTCATGCTTTTACCTAGATTCGTATACCAACCTTCTGTACATGACCAGTTTTGCCCTTTAATAAACAGTACTCCTTGTTCAGTGACATATAGAGATAGCATTTCTTATGTAAGGTCAAACCACCTCCATTCTCTGTTGGTGACTTCAATAACCTAAAGCCAAGACCTAATAGCCGAAATTATATACACACAGCACCAGATCACGCAGCCTATAAAGATAATATGCAACAAAGAACGATTATACGACCACCTCACCCTTCTCCTCCCTCTCCAGCGCAGCCTCAATCAACTTCTTATAACCAACGACAGCATCCTTAATCTGGCGGATGGTCAAGGCCTCATTATCACCATGAGCAACAAAGATACTACCAGGACCATACAAGTAGCGCTTGACACCAGGAGCGACAGCCAGGTTCGGCACATCAGTGCCATAGTTAACAGTGGTAACATTGAACCCATCAACATCAACATCCAAATCCTGCGGCGGGTAAGACTCGCCATGCGAAACAAAGTCCACAACAACCTCCGCCTCAGCATCCCGAACCGCCTCGCTAACAGCGCGCTGAACAATCTCACGCGCCTCAGCAGGCGTACCAGCCGCAAGTCTCACAGCAACATCCGCCCACGCCTCAGAAGGAACAACATTTGTCGCGACGCCAGCACGGATAACGCCAATATTCAGCGTCGTCGGTCCGTACTTCGGGGATGCAGGCAAACCGCCCTCTTCAACGGGGATATTACCGAGAACATCGACGCGCGATAGCGCAGGCAGAATCGCCGAAACGGCGCTCTTGCCCAGCCACGGATATCCCGAGTGGGCGGCGCTGCCGTGGGCGAGAACCTTGAAACCGAGCATGCCCTTGTGGCCAGCGACGAGAGCTGCCTCGGTTGGCTCGCCGAAGATGACGGTTTTGAAGGCGTTTTTGGAGTTGAGGGTTGAGTTTGAGAAGACTTTCATGCCGTCGCCGCCGATTTCTTCGCCGACGACGAAGAGAAGACCGAGCTTGGCGTCGGGCTGGGAGTCTAGTGTTTCAAGGGTTGCGAAGATTTGGGCTGCAACGCTTCCCTTTGCGTCGACGGAGCCGCGGCCTGCTAGGATGAGATCCTCTTGGTCGAAGGTGGTGGTGGAGTCGGGCTGGTGCACGGAGTATGGGATGAAGGGGGGACGGTGTCGATATGGCTTGTGAGGAGGATTGATGGGGGTTGTGTGTAGGATTTTGGAACAGCATAGATGTTGTAGCGGGTCTTGGTGTCCTCTTGGCCTTTCACTGGGGGCACCTCTTGCTTTACCACGGTGAAGTTCCGGGCCTCGAGGAATTGCGCGACGAAGAGGCCGACATCGTGCTCGTTACCGGAGATTGACTCAATCTTGACCAGGTCTCGGTGGAGTGATAGTAGAGGTGAAGTGCTGATTATATCATCTAGGTCTCCTTGGCTATAGCTGGGCTGGGAGGGCGATGATGGCGCGCTCAAGAGCTGCTGTTGCTGGGGTGCGGGGTGCGGAGAAGCCTGGACACCGGACATGATGGCCGCAGCCGCGAGATATGAAGAGAACTTCATTGAAAAATTGTGCTATGAATATGTTCCAATGGGTATCAGTTTTTGTATTCTAAGCAATTGGATAACCCCGACACTCAGAAAGTTGAGTATTTTGTGAAGCTTGCAGTAGGTTCGAGGACCGAAATCGGGAATACCCGATGTATACGGTCACGTGGATGGATATATAACATTCACAAACCCCCGATAGCTAGGATTAGATATAGAATAGCATGAATCCTATTGGATACATATTGGGTCTGTGGTGCTTGTTTTATTGCGTTATCGAGTTGAATTGCCCCACTTGGTTCATACCAGGTGTTTTTTTGGATCGATATTTGTCGTCCAGATACGAAGAGGTACATATCAGCATTTGGCTCAAGAGTGTCACATAAGGAATTACAGTTGCATGGATATCTGAATGTCGACAAATCACGGGTAATATCAACATTTCGTTCGCGATATATCTCTGGAAGCAGGCAAGAGTGATGTTGGGTATTTCATTTGCCGGAAAAGATGTGCAGATACCGATTATATTGAGATTGTATATGTAAACAAGAAACAAATCTATTGGTACGTAGATTCTGGCCCCAAGGTCAAAATAAGAGCGCCTATCTATAGCGAAGCTTTGCAATAAAGTATCAAGTGACATCATTTCAGAGACAAATACATCGAATAGCATCATGCAAAGCTGGGATAATTTATGCTGGTAATAATTGTCCACTATGTATGTACCATGACAAGTTGGCCAACAGTGATCACGTCCGTTTTCCAATTTATATCCCACACGAATTCGCGTAAAAAAGATTTCGGTGTAGCATTGATCTACAGATGACAACACATGGATCTTTTGGCAAGACTATTAGTGTAACCTATTTTCCTATGTCGGGCCCACCTATATTGAGACACGGACACTTCCTACTCACATTCCCAGCGTAATCCGGCACTAATATCCCGGGAATATGGAAGGAATCGATTGTTATGAAGCCGAAATGAAGCATAGTAATGCTTGGTAGGGGGGATACGCTTTGAGTGGGGTGAAACTATCGCGATATAAGCAATGATCTACATGTTCATGCCAGTTACAACCATAATGTATGAGCTACATATATCTTGTAGTATTATATTGTACAGTATATATCGTACATAATGAGAATAATGAATAGTGTTTCGCCACTCGGTGATATTCCGATGCAGATCATTCGGTTTGGGCATTAGGTCAGTTTTTGGACTATATTGGATATAAATATGAATTTTACACCCCCTTAAAATGGATAGTTCCTAAGACATTGTATTGTTCTATTCAATATTCGATAGAGCCAAATTGACGCCGAAATCAATTGATCCAAACAAGAGCATGGAGTCTCATCAGAAAAGACTCCTTGCAAGAACGGTCGATGATCGTGCTGAAACCAATCCCAACCAGCGATTTGCGGTTATTCCAGAGGGATTGGAAATAAGCAATGGGTTCCAAATAATCTCAATCAAAGACCTTGCACGATCCGTGAACTTCATGTGTTGGTGGATTGAAAGCATCATCGGACCGGCACAATTCCCAGAGACTTTGGCCTATATGGGGAGCAATGATGTGCGCTATTTCATATTTATGCTGGCATGCCAGAAGACTGGATATCAGGTAAGGAAATAAAGCAATTGAAGCTGAAGATAGAACAATCGGACTGATCTTCATAGCCCTTCTTGCCTTCTACTAGGAACTCAGACGAAGCCTATGCCCATTTACTAAAAACGATGAAGTGCACCAAGTTCTTCTTCAGCGAGGAGCGCCAAACACGAACCCTGGAGATCCAGGGGCTTGTTTCAACATTGGATATATTCCAGATCCCGACCACGAAGAAAATTCTTAGTGATGAGAGTGGTCTGCGCCACTATTCATACACCAAATCTTATGCTGATGCAGAGAATGACACAACGTGCATCATCCATAGCTCTGGAACGACAGGTAAATTTCATGAACCTGACACTGTGAACCCGCGCTAATTTCCACTACAGGCATGCCAAAGCCGGTGTATCTCACCAACGGCTTCTTCATGACCATCGATTCTCTTTCTCATCTTTCAAGGCCGGCAGGTCGTCAGCCATCTATGTTCCATGATCTGGATCAAACTGAACTGGTGTTGGCCACAGCACCTTTCTTCCATCTCATGGGACTGGTATCATTCTTGTTCTCTGTGTGGTTCGAAATTCCCACACTCATCGGCCCAGATAAGCCACTCTCCGTCGACCATATGATAGAGCTGCTGCACACTGCTCAGCCCACAGCCGCAGTCTGCCCACCCTCGGTACTGGAAGACATGAGCCACTCCGACAAAGCTCTAGCTTGTTTGAAAGAGCTCAAGTCAGTCTATTTCGGTGGCGCACCTTTGCCCCTAGAGACCGGAGAGCGATTGCGCAAGTATACCCAGCTCGTATCGATACTTGGAAGCAGCGAGGCCGGTGTGATCCCAGGGTTGGTGCCGGAAGACCCAGTCAACTGGGGTTACTTTGAATGGAACGAAGCATACGGAGTCGACATGCAAGATGCTGGCGATGGTGTATTCGAGATGGTGATTACTCGACAGAAGAATGCGCAAAACTTCAAGGGAATTTTCCACACATACCCTGACATCAATGTGTATCCAACCAACGATCTCTATACCCCACACCCAACGAACCCACATCTGTGGAAGTTCCACGGGCGTAAGGATGATGTGATTGTCCTAAGCAACGGCGAGAAGTTCACTCCTGTCGGAATGGAGACTATCATTGAAGGACACCCGCTGGTTGGAAGAGCGGTGGTAGTCGGCCAGTCCCGGTTCCAGGCTGGACTTCTCATCGAGCCGAGTCATGAAGGACCAGATATGGACGCAAAGCTTTTTATTGAGGAGATCTGGCCGACAGTGCAAGTGGCTAATCAGACCATTGCGGCTCATGGACGGGTGATGAAGAACATGATCTGGTTCGCAGTGAAGGCAAAACCATTCAAGACGACTCCTAAAGGTAGCGTGCAGCGCCGGGCTGTGCTTCGAGACTACGAGAAAGAGATCGATGCGATGTATGCCGAAGAACTCGAAGATGACTTGGACCAGTGTCTGCCAGAGAAGCTGGACTACGAGAGTGTTGCAGAGTATATTCGCCAGATTATTACTCGTGTTCTGGAGAAACCTATCACAAAATCTCAGGACTTTTACTCTGCTGGTCTTGATTCTCTGATGACCATTAATGTCTCTCGGGTGCTGCAAAAGGGAGTCCAGCTATGTCGGCCGGATGTGAAAGCAGGAGCCATCAACACCCAGACGATTTATGGCAACCCCACTATCGACCGATTGTCTCGAGTTGTAATGGCCATCTTAGATGGGAAAACCCAAGCTAGTATACCGCGAGCAGAGAAGATCCAGAGTCTGGTGGACAAGTATACATCCGATCTTCCAGCCCGGGAAATCTACCATCAGAATGGATTACCTTCGCCTTCGACTGTGATACTGACTGGTTCAACTGGCTCACTGGGAACTTATCTACTGCACTCTCTGCTAAGCAGTGATTCCATCACTAAGGTCTACTGCCTCAATCGTTCAGATGCCGAATCTCGGCAGAAGAAAAGCTTCGAAGAGAAAGGGCTGCACCTTGACGCAAACGACTGGAAAGACAAGGTCGAATTCCTCCAAGTCTCATTTGGAGAACCACGATTCGGGCTAAACGAGTCCAAGTACCAAGACCTCCTCGACTCAGTTGACACCATTATCCACAACGCCTGGAAAGTCGACTTCAACCATTCCGTCGATTCCTTCGAGGGCACCCACATCCAGGGTGTGCGGCGCTTCATAGACTTTAGCCTGAGCGGCCGCAGCAACGCTCATCTCCACTTCATCTCCTCAGTCAGCACGGTAGGCTCTTGGACCCCAGAAATGGGAGATTCAATCCCGGAAGTACCGATGGAGGACATTGCCGTAGTTCTCCCTCAAGGCTACGGGGAATCCAAGTACATTGCCGAGCGGATCTGTCTCGAAGCCTCGCGAAGATCTAATGTTCCTACGTCGGTCTATCGCGTCGGACAGATCGCCGGACCGACCACCACGCGCGGACAATGGAATCCGCAAGAGTGGCTACCGACGATTATCGCGACATCGAAAGCGATAGGTAAAATCCCTAACCGACTAGGCTCGACCGTGGTCGATTGGGTGCCAGTGGTAAGCCCCTCCCCCCTCCCATCACGAGCACTATATTTCGACCAGCTCCCAGAGCCGGATAGCCGAAAGCAGAAAAAAAGGGGAAAAAAAAGCCAAGACCTATTGCTGATCGCACTTTCTTACTTGCTTTATTTAGGATACTTTATCGAATATTATAGTGGAAATTGTCAACACACGTCATAGGAGCTTACCCGAAGCACGGTGGGCCGTGTTCCATCTCACCAACCCGGAACAAGCACCATGGTCGTCGTTGATACCGGCAATTCAGAGTCAGTATGCGGCCGAGCCAGTTTCATTTTCCGCATGGATTGCCGAGCTGGAAAGTATAACCAACCCTAGCAGTGCGGATATTGCCTCAAAGCCCGCGCTCAAGCTGTTAGGGTTCTACCGCGGCCTACAAGACGAGGGCAGTGCCCTGTCTGTGGCGCTGGATGTCCGACGGGCGAAGGAAGCAAGTGTCAGCATGAGAGCCCTCGGCCCGGTCTCTCCCTCGCTGATGCAAAATTGGCTGCAGCAATGGCGATTTTGATTAGATATAATTATATATTGCCTCTTAGAATAGATCTAAATGTCTAATATTTTGTATATGGCTATGGTGTATATCGCTATTTGCAGACTTGCAGGCCTTTGAGACCTGCCCGTGATCGGAGGGCCTTCCATGGTTCTCCGGGGCTTAATTAGGTGATTACCTCAGAAATCCATCCGATTAGGTTTTTTTCTTCTCTTTTTTTGTCTTTTTCTTTTTCTTTTGCTTTTTGCCGAGTGGCGATGATTGGCCACCCGAGATAGAAGACTCAGCCTATACCATTTTGGGCTGCAGTGTGGTCTGTTCTGTCCTAGTGACCTGCAGGGATGCCTTAGTGAGAGATGGGATCGGAGAGATCTCCAGGGGCAAAAAAAAAAAAAAAAAAAAGACAAAGACAAAGACAAAGACAAAGAATCTGATATATCACAAGTATCAAAAGTCACCTGAAGAATAAAATTTGACTTATCCAGCATGTCCCGTTGACAATTGACAAACCCGAAAATTCATCCCAGTTACTCTGTGCCAAGGCTCGCCTCAAGCCCCAAAGGCACACCCGGCGAGCAGAGGCAGTGGCGCCAAAGACCATGGCTCTCTTACCTTTTCCCCTTCGCCTCTCCAATCATAGAAAAATGGAATGTTCCCCGAATCCCGAATTCCCCGAGAGAACGTTGGTTAGGACCATGTGGACCTGACGTCTGGTGCCAAAGGTGAATGGATTTGGCTTCTCTCCAACCCTTGGAAGGTTTCTATTTTCCCCTCTCCGGTACCTATTCATTCCGATGGTTCTTATGATTGGATGACAGTTCTCTCCTCTCCTCTCCTCTCCTAGTACCACTTGCTCCTGTTGTAAGTACTATGTTGTAGTGCTCTCATATCGGCGGCCCAGGTTTAGTTCGGAGTTCGCACAAGTTCTCGTAGGACACCAATATACATACCTAGCACTCCGTGCCCTACATATAATTTCGAACCGATAACCCTCCATTGTGCTACCCTACTCGTCATACTCGGACAAAGTTCTGACCTCTACGGGACGGGACCTTGTCCGCGGTTGCTCAACGTTGTCGGAGCTCTAATACAAACGGGGTGGATGCACCAGTCCGTGTGTAGAATGGGGGATGGGTTATACCCAGTGGTTATTCTGGGCCGAAGAGGAGTACGGAGTAAACAGACCATAGCGGGATAAATAAGGCTAAATAAGCGGATGTATCCAAGTCCTTTCCCCCCATCTATAGGGCGAATCAGAACCGATCGACTGGGTCGCAATGGCATCATAATGGTTCCCCTCTTGAATCCACCTCAGTCTAGATTGTTTGCCGATCGCACACACGACTGGATTTTGTACCCAATTGAGAAAAGGGTTCTGGGGGGTAATTGATGTAGAACGTTGGGCTACACAGCATATCTGTGTAGCCGTTGGGGGGGTGGTTTAAAAAACAATCGAATTAGTTCTAGATATATTCTACATACAAAGTGCTTAATATGGACAAAATCAATTGAGAAAAGGATTAAAAAATAGATAAAATAGAAGAACGAACGCCTTCCAGACCCTTGGATGCCATGGTTCAAGCAGTGTCAACCACCGGAACTCAACGGAGCAAACCTTGGTAATATGGATCGGCGAGTTTAGTCCGTTCAAAGGGTTAGTCACCTTTTTTTTTCTTTGGGAATCTCATGGAATTTCTCCACTAACGGTTGTTTGGACCATCTAGAGCCATAGTACGGAGGAATCTCTTTTTTAGTTCTATCATTTTTGTCATTTCTGTCATTCCTCTCATCTCTTCCCCATTTTCTTTCTATCACCTTCATCTACTCTCTCTCTCATCTATCAAAACGGCCAGGGTAGAGAATCTGTACGACCCAGGATCTCCCTGTTCGTTCAGCCCGTTTGCCGATTGTAAGCAAAAGCACCGAAACCCTCTCTTTCTGCCCAGCCAGTTGGTCTCGTCGACTTGTTTGGTCCACGTCGCTCGGCGGAATTCGATTTCTTTTTTTTTTTTTTTCTTTTTTGTATTTCTGAATTTCTGAATTTCATGTGTATTTTTGGATTTCCTACAGTTTCGTACCTGGACGATAATCATATTTGCATTTCCAATCTTCATCAGATGCTAACTGGCCCAAGACCTCAGTTCCCGCGTTTCCCGGACTATCACTCTTCTCTCATCACACCGCCACGTCTTTTCCCGCCCAAAGGCCATTAGGGAATGACTTGAAAGCGTTGTCTCTCTTTATCTTGTGGTCATCCCTCACATCCAATGCTGAACTGCAACCATCCCCTATATACCAGCCACCCCGTCCACCAGCGGCGCTCACTTTGTGAGAATGTACAAACTGTCTCAAATAATCGACGCGACACGAGAAAGTCTCGACGCGGCCGATTCACCTTCACGCCAGCCGCACTCCCCATTGACTATTAATACCTCCGCGCCGGCCTCACCTGCCATCTCTTTGTTCTCCGCCGCAGGCCACAACCGGGTCTCTAGTTCCGTCTCTTCCCTTGTCTCTTCATCAGGCCTGGGAAATTCAATGGACAGTCCCAGTCGGAGTCATTTGACTGGAGTCAAGGAAGAGGAATGCACACGCGACTCGTTGGAAGATCATTATTTCCGTATGTGTCAATCGCCACCGCAACAACTCCCTGGTCATACCGCAGTTGCTAACCTAGATTTTTCTACAGAGCACTTTGGCCACGGCATGTCCGCAGAAGAGTCATACTTTGCCCCCGTCGATAACTCAGATAGCTACGATCTGAGCGTTACTAGCATGGAAACTGCCCCATCACCGAAAAAGAGACGCTCAGACAGTGTCTCAATAAAGGGCGTCTCGCGCATTAACTCGCACATATCGACCATGTCAGCCCGGTGGAAGACTAAGCGATCATCCAGTGGTGCAGAAGGCGATATTTTCCCGGATGATCTACGATCACGCGCGAACTCGGCGGCCTCCTCCGCCTTGGCAAGCCCCATTGTTGGTTCCATGCCTATGAGCCGAGTCGACTCTATTCCTCCTTCTCCCGCGCGAACGATCTTCGAGGAACGCGCGAGCGAGTCTGGCGCGCGCCCAATCGATATCACCCGAGCGAACAGCCTCAGCCAGGACGACAACGATGTGCAGAAAGCAACAACCCCTCTCCTGCCACCGTTCATGGGAGACGACCCAACAAGCGTGACAGCATCCCGCGTTCAATCACCACTGCAGTCTCCGTCAGTCGCAGACGCGAGCGAACCACACTATAACTATAATGTGACCTCAGACCCACGGTTTATGGGAGTTCTTCCTTCGCCACCACTCTCGTCCAAGCCTTCCGTGGCCTCCTTCAACCGACCGCGAGCCAGCACCGTGCGCACAGTCTCAGGCGATGTAACGCCCCTCGTCCTCTCCGATCCCAACGACGAATGGACCAACAAACTCGGCCACGCCAACTTCACCATCACGCCTGAGCCTTACGACCCTGTGGTTTGCGACCTCGGCAATTTCCAGCAGATGCGTGCAGACTGGGACATTGCGCGTTGCAACTTTGCTAAGCACCTCGTTCGCACTGGTGAACACTACGGCGTCACCTCGAACATCTACAAGCTTACCATCGAGAAATGGGAGTCGGTCAACAGCGAGTGGGCAACACAGCACGAAGCCATGCTTGACCAGCTCAGCGCTATAGATGGCGTTGCTCTTACGCTCACCCAGTCTAATATCCACCCTTGCCAACAACTCCGCATCCCACGTCTGCATGACAACGACAAGTTTCCCGAAATGGGGGATGAGGACATTGTCGGCCCAATGACTGTGGCACCAGCTACGGAGATTGCAGGTCCCTGCCGATCTGAGAGAAAGAGGAATTTCTTCCGCTTTTTCCAGGATTTGGTCTCCCGACCTTGAGACCTGAGCCCTTACGTTGGGCTCAGGTCTTTTTTCCCCTTTTCTCTTTTTTCACATTTCCAAGCGATCCACAACGATAATGACGATAGATTATTCCCCGCGCGCCTTTTGATTACTCGTTCAATCTCGCCCGCACTGTTACGATTAATGTCTCTCTTTTAATCTTTTTTTTTTTGGACCTTTTGTTTATAATGACTCTCATGACTTACGATCCGGATCAGCGACTACTGTTCTCGCCCCGAATCATGCCACTCCTTTGTCTATATCGCCGAGTCTTGTCTTTCCCGGGGGATTATGTTTTCTCCTCAATTCTTCGTCCTGGATGTCTTGCATTTCCAAAGACACTACAATCCCTTCAACTTCCGACAAGAAAAGAGAACGAAAAGCTAACCCCCCAACTGACTGGGTCTATCACCCTCCTTCCTCTCTCTCTTTTTTTTTCTGTGTCTATTATATACTATACCCCCCATACACCAAGCCTACCAGCCGTTGTACCCCATAGACTTCAACCCTATCCACCCACATCCCTCTGCTCCACAAGCAGAACAGGACAAAAAGCAAAAAAAAGCATCTGAAAAAAGTACCTTATCATGTTTCTATATGTATATATCCAGCTTATGCACAATCTACATATGATCACCATATGCAAATGTCTATAATTATATCTACATCTACATCTACAATTCTAAAATATGAACATAATCCCATGAAACACCCATGTACATGTCATTGGAAGGGATGACATGGTGCATAATAGAATCCCCGCACGTGGGAGAGACATTGTCGAAAGTAACTAACTAGTTACCTCGTTATCTACTACGGAGTATTCTATTCACCATTTGCCGTTTACTGCAAGAATACAGCGGGAGGCGCGTGTAGATGAGTCACATGTACAAGAACAACAGTGGAGAGGAACTGACCTGGTACTGTGGGTCGGCCACGTTGTGAAGCTACCGCTATTTGCAACTTTTTCGCAACATACAATGTAAGATACATGAACGACTGGAGTGGGCTTTTGGTACATGGATAACAAGTCCTGTATGATCCACTTTGAGACATGTCCGAATTGGGAAAGGGAGCTTAGTGCGAGTGCGAGTGCTGGTGCCTGTACCTGCCTGTGCCTTGGCTTGGCAAAGAGGTTCGGTTTTAATCTTTGGTCTTTTTGATGTTGTGAGTCAGAGACAATTTTTTTTTTTTTTTTTACAAAATTCAAATTGAGTCTGCTGGGGACAGTATAGTGGAGGCGTTAATAGGCAGTGATGGGGTGTAGAGAATACTTAGGGTTGTGTGTTTGTTTGTGTGCTTGAACGTGTGATATTTAGTCGTTTACTGTCAAGACTACGTTATGTATACATGCAGTTATACGCGAATCACGGGAGGATGTAGGTCATGTCTTAGATGGACATAAGCCGGGGAAACACGATAATGGTCTTTATTATAACACATTCAATATATCCCCAATCGCACCCCATACCCCCTCCCTCAGGGTCCACGGCAGAGCTGAGAATGCCTTGATCTAAGATTATCACAGAACCGAAACATGCATTGATGCAGTCGAAATCAACATTCGCGTTTTTGAGGTCAGGTGAAACCCCGCCAACAGGTAATGAGTCCGTAGACCCGAGCTGTATTTCAACCTCCAAGTAATGCAGATAAAGAGATATCAAGATTAGGGTGAGCACGACGCAGACAGACGTAAGCATAAGCCACGGGATGTGAGTAGCAGTAGTAGGCAAGTTGGTAGGGCGTATATATCAGTCCTGGTCACTAGTACTTTCAAACCCAGTACTGGCCCCAAATTTCCTTGGCTTCTTCGCTGCCGTGGAACTGGAACTCGACGGGGATGATATCATCAAAGCCCTCGTCCAGCGTTGGTGCGCGGAAGCGGCGGCCGAAGTCGCCAAAGGCGATGCCAGGAAGCGAGGTTCGGGATTCGGGGTTCTGGTTGGGATGAGAATGTAAGAATGAGGACAAGATTGAGATGAAGATGGGGATATTGCCAATACATACCAGTTCTTTGTTGGATGCTCGGACGGCGTTGTTGTGTCGGCATAGGTCTGGCGTGGAAATGAATTGTACGCAACGGATAGGAATCTTGAGTTCTTTCGCGAGAGATGTCCAGTGAGCCCGTGTTTCTGGGTCGGCGTTGGTGTTATCTAGGCAGTAACCGGGTTAGATTGCTTGAGAACCGAAGCTGGGAGAAATAAATCCCACGACGTACCGACTGCCACGGACTTCTTGGCTTCCAAGTGCTCGCGCGCGACCTTGAGGCATTTCGGACGCTATTGTTCATAAGTATTCGATTTCGGTCTCATTCTGTGGTTATAACACCTACCGTCTTGAGAAGATCTTGATTGACTCGTTCGTAGCCTAGAGGCTCCAGGTGGTTCCAATAGAAAGTGGACTTCCCAGCACCTGGGCTGCCACAGAAGATAACAAGTTCAAGTGGGTGCTTGCGAGCAAAGGGTTTGGCTGCGATGAAGACATGTCAACAATCCGCCAGAGTTGGGTTTCTTGCGGGGAATAACAAGTTCATCGAAAGCAATAAGCACATACCTGGCTCTTCGAGATCTGACTTTACGAAAGACTTAGGGTCGAAGCCCAGTGTTGCCGGCTCTGTGATCTGCCCGAGGAAAAACTCCTCTGGGGTTTTGAATGGCATACCGATGTTGGTAGCAAGTCCCCTAGAGCTGATATCAGACTTTGTCAAAACATGCTAAAATTTATGATCCCCTTACCGATCCACGGCTGAATGATCACCTGGCCTTCCAGCCGCATCACCGACGAAAACTGACGCGGGCAAGTCAACACCCGCAACGTCGAGGTCATAGTCGTCCAGGAACTCGCGCCACATTCCGATACGGGGTTTCCTATATTCAGGGTCTGTGGTGGCCGCGTAAACGCTGACGGGGAAATCCAGTTCCGTCATGACAGCGGTCATTTTTTCTTTGAAGTTTGACAGACTTTTTGAATCACTCCGTCCACCCTTGATGTCCTTCTGGACACTGATCTTCTTTTGGTTTGAGAAAATCACAACTTGGAAGCTGTCAAAGTATAAGCCCGAGTGAACACAACCAATTTTATATCCCGAGTCTGGACATACCCTTCAGCATTAAGCTCCTTCAGTCGCCCCGGAACTTTGGTATTCCACCATTGCCAATCAGTGGCAGACTTGGGGAAGACATTTCCTGATTTTGTTTTGATCAATGTTGAATCCTATATATTGATGTCAGCAGGGCCGTCCTATCTTTCGACACTACCTGTTCTAGCGGTCGGTTTCAATGACTGACCAAATCAAAGCCAGCAATTCGGCGCAGTTTCTCAGTGGGAGGGACTGCCTTGCCCGTAATCTGCTTTCCGATGATAACACTGGTGCCAATGACGCGCCATGTGATCGGCTCGGGCTTCTTTTGCGAGGCTGGGGTGAAGAAGTTTGCCGCCGATTTCTCTATAGTTTAATTATTATTAGTGTATGGAACGCCCTAGTGGATAGTAAGGACTTACTGGTTACCGTTGTCTCAACCTTCCGGCGCAATGGTGGTGGAGATATGGCTTGGGTAGGGGAGGCGCCTCTCTTGGCTGCCCCCTCGGCCATTCTGACAGTGCGGGTGATTGAAAACGTGGTGAAGGGTTTATGGGCAAACTTAGATGTGTGGTGGTTGATTCTATTAGTTTTCGCTGTGAGTTGCAGTTGAATCTGAGATATGTGTTGCCAGTGTTGGACGCGCCGAGACGCGGAGAAATCACGAAGTCACATGTTCTTGAATATTAAAGTGACATTACACAGCCAGATGTGCGATATATTCTAATAATAAATACCAAAAATTAGATAGGATGGAAGACGATCTCCTTCTGAGAACGAAGTGAACTCGGAATAACTCATTTTGATATCCCGGAAAGGGAGAATGCACCACGGCGCCGGAACGCACCGCAAGCTCAGATGGATGATATCTCGCGCGCGATTTGGGAGAAGGGGGAAGGGTTTAGCTTTTATCCAGAGAAGACTTGCGAGGGTTTACCCGCTCGGCCAAGTTCTATCTGGACAGGAGTATAGGCGTTGTTGGTCTTTACTTATGGGACTCTAGGAGTCTTTTGGGTCATGGATCCTTCTGTGTGCACTCTTACCCCGAGAGGGGAATGAAAATGAAAATATTCATGTGACTTGATTGCTATGATGGGTATATTTCTTCTTTTCGCCCTGATTAAAAAAAAAAGTTCGAGATTTCTATCAACGCCGTCGCTGGAGACCGGGTATTTCGTAGTCTCCGGCATGCTCAAACGAACCGAAGTAGGAGTGGTCATCTACTTCGCCCGCGTATCAAGAGACAGTCGATCCGCCTGCTCTAGGACAACCGCCGACTTCAATTGCTCGCGCAGGCCAAAGAGATGCTGTGATGCAGTCTTCATCGTTTCCTGGTTACTACCGTCCTGGACAATGATGAAGGCCTGCAGCACATAGCTTCCGCTCTTCTCAAACAGAGTCATGTCCTTCAAAGCAGGCAACTGCCGCCGGGGCAGATTCAACTCATCCCCACCCGGGTAGTGCAGCACGCGATGCAAGAAGATAGCAATGTCATTGTGGATGAACATATCACCTTCGACCACATACTCAGTAGTGAAACTAGAACAGATAGCGTTAGTGCCAATCCCATAATCTCGATCTCGGGGGCGCCACTCACTGATAGCCCCACGCATTCATAGCTTGCACGACATCTCCCCGCGGGAGCGTCGCACTTGACATCAGACGTGACGTGACCGCTGAGCGAGTACCAGCTTCAGGGATATCACGAAACTCCAACTTCCATGGTTGACGTTCATAGTCATAAGATGGAGATGATGAAGATCCATACGAGTTCGAGTCGTCCATACCGGCCATCTGAGTGTCTCGATCGACGGGAGTAGTGGATCCGAAATCCGATTCGGAAACCGGACCGACCACCTGGGTGTAGTACATGTTCCCATTGAGCATTTTATTGAGCCGTTGCAGGTCCCCCTGTTGAAGGTCCTGACTGGCTCCGGTGCGCCCCGCCACGCCTGGTTTGCGGTAGGCCTTGAAGATCAGCCGCCGCTCTAGGCAATGGCGGGGCTGCATGGCAGTCAATCCAGCAAGCTGCTGAAGAAGCTCATGATGTTGATGAACTGGAACCGAGGCGAAAAGCGACTGCTCGTGCATATTGTCTGACTTGTGTGTAATGCAGCGGGTGAATCCGGGATGTGTTTAGGTCAGGGTCCAAGCTTCAGTGGCGCAATTCTCCAAGGAACGTTATCAGAGCTCAAATTATTTTTTATGTGTCGCTCTTATTGCTAATAGCGTCTAATGGACCTGTTTGATCTGTTTGGTTTGATCTGTTTCTTGGCAAGTGTGTTCAATGTTGAACTTTCCCGAAATGTTAGACCTTTTTCCGATGCTTTGTGAAACTCTCTGGAATATCAATTCCGGTGCAAGGATGACTTGTCAAGGATGTTTATTCCAATCCAGGAAGCGTTGGACTTTTGCTTCCGATTGCGGGGGGAAGGTCTAAGCTGTGTGGGACAAATAAGCTTGACTGGTTTATGGGGAACCTTGGAAGAATTACCAGATGATCCAAGAGAGAGACGATGATTGGCGGATTGGTCTCAAAGAAAAAGGGAAAAGTAGATATTAGGCACCAGGAAGGCACCAAGAATGAGGAGGAGCTCAGGTTGGAGCTCACTTTGGGGGCTCACCGGAGTCACAGAATGGGAAAAGATGGCCTCACCATGGAGAAAGACGGAGTGTGGTGTTGCCAAGGCCAGAGGCTGCATCGGAATCTGCACCCGATGTAAAGTACCATATGCACCAGTGCAGTATCCGATATTCAGTTGGGGGTATGGCATGACATGGATTGTACAGAGTACAATATAGACTGAAGGGGGTTCAATAGTAAATCATAGTAACTCCTAGTAAATCTTAAGTAAATCTTAGTAGATGTACATGTACTCGATTATACCGTGTACATATTTTACATACGGACATATAGTTCCCCGGTTCCGAGTCGGCTTTGCCCAAAACGGCAACCCTCCCCTTCTTATCTTCGACTCTTTTCCCTCCTTCCCCTCCTCTTGCACCTCCAAAAAATCTAATTTCTTCATTCTCTAACATATTCGCCTTCTTTCATATACCCAGCAACAATTCCTACTACACTTTAGAATCAGAACTCGTTCTCTACCTTCCTTCTCGGTCGGATTCGGATACTACCGGACCCGTTCAATTTCGCACATTCCCGCGTCAAATTGATCTTACCAACCTCCCACCTCCACACACCTAATACCTACATAACTACCACAATGCGTGTCACCTCTATCCTCAGCGGCACTGCCCGTACTCCTCTCATTCGCTTCGTTGGCAAGCGCACCGTCCCTCGTACGTGATATTCACCATTTCCCGATCTCCAAATCCCCTAGATTTGAACTAACCTCATATTTCAGAGTCCATTGACCACTCTCCTCGCGTTCACCCCGCCTCTCCCACCGGCTCTCTCCCCGACTCCTTCGCTACCTACCGTGCTAAGGCTCAGCAGCACGGCCCCCTCGGTCGCTCCTCCTTCAACGGCACCATTGGCGGCAACTCGGGTGCCTCCCTGGGCCCCATCAAGCCCCAGGCCGGCGAGTTCTTCGATCGCGCCGAGCTCCCCTCGCGCTTCGGCCGTCTTCCCTGGACTCAGGCTGAGATTGATGCCATTGAGACCGGCGGCGCGAGCATGTTCGCATAAGCGTTCCCTCGGGCAAAATATAAAAATTTCTCAAAATATATGAATGGGGCATGATACTTCCTATGGAAGTTGCGCGATGAATGAGCTTGAGTCTTGGATTTCGATTTTGGGGCAGTTGCAGCGCGGTTATCTTGACTTCGCCCGACCGTGGCGTTGCTAATGCCTTTGTGGTCGCTGGGGATACAGATCTGATGCTTGCTCACTCGTTCCGAGAGTTTCCGAGATCAAAAACTCTCACTTTATACCTTGTTGCTTGTGATGGCTGGAGGCCATTCACAAGAACGTTTTTCTCAAGCGGTGATGCTTTACCGCTCTCTTTTTTTCGGTGTTTTCTTTTTCAGTCGTTGTACTCGGCGCTGGTGGTTGATCTTTCTTGGTGTTCTATTTTCATGCGCAACACGCAGCTGTATCGTCTTGATGTCGAAAACGCGGAGTGTTCGTTTTATACATAGATTGTGGGACTTGGTGATTCTTGTTACATACATAGGCTCTGTGAGCACTATTCGAAGAAATGAATTTCTCGAAGCAAGACTAAGCTTTTCCGATACGCGTATATTACTCTAAACTATACATTATAGAGCTATAGAGCTATCGAACTATAGAGCTATCGCTATCGAACTATCGAACTATAGGCTTATCATTAAGTATCAAGGATCATAAGGTACGTGGTCTCAAGCACGTGCCTCCCCGACTCTACCTCGATCCGAGTAACCCTTGTCTACTTCCCATCCCGAGGTCTGGTTGAACATGACCTCCCTCATGAGCGAGACGAATAGGCTGACATTCCGGGAGACAGACGAGGCCGGAAATTCCACTGCAACCTACATCTACTCGGGAGATGTCGCTTCCTCAATTACTGCCTCAAAGGCACCGGCTGGCCGAGTAGACGTAATAGTAAGTGGTCACTTCTTATTTCCTTATTGGATATTTCTAGCATTGGATGTTTGAAATGGCACATGAAACAAATCATTCCCAGATGTGGTCTTTTATTTTGTCGATTAGCAGGCCAACATCCCCTAATGTCGTGGGATATCTGCCAATCACTTCATAATGAATCCTTTTCCTGGAAAACAGACACTCTCTCTTGCATTTAGCATATGAATTGTGCCCATTCAATTTCGATTTATCATGTGTTAGTTCAAAGCATGGATGTCGTTGCATGATGCGGAAAGACATGCAACACTATATTAATACCTCGAAAGTTTTTGATCTTAACTGACCTATCATAACAGAGCTCCTCTTCATCTACCTCATTATGGTCAATTAAGCCTTTATTCGGCTCGCTGGGTGATGTTTTTCTTCCCTCCGGGTACCCCCAAAGTGTCAGCGATGACTATCTCCCGTGAGTACAGACAATAACCTATTGAAACATCCCTACTCCACAAAAGGACTAACATTCAACCCAGATATCAAATATTTGTGAGCATACAATCCCTGGCTATCAGAGACAGAAAGCAGAAACCTCGTGGCTCGGACTACCCTGCTCTACCATATCAAAAACAATATCAAAGCCACACCTAGAACACAGCCAGTTCTAACACAACGAATCAACTGCAGGACTCCCTCCAAGCCTTCTGCAGCTCAATAGCAGGCCTTCTCTCCTCCAGAGCCGTCCTCCAAGGTCTATATCCCGCCACCCAGCCCAGCCCATATATCAAATCCAACCCAAGAGAAAAGCAACTAACACAAAACTCAACATACAGGAGTCGGCGTCGGCAACGCTAATGCCTCTCCAACATCCGCACTACTCCTGCACATCCTGCAAGATATATCTGGCCGCATTGCAACGATCTGCTTCGCCCACCGCGTCGGCACAGCCCTTGAACCAGAATGTAAAACATACCGGCTAGCAGCAGACGTCTTCAACGATGTTGCCATGATCCTCGACTGTCTCTCGCCGGGTGTTCCTGCCGGACCGCCGCGGGTGATTGTCCTCAGCACAGCCGGTGTCCTCAGGGCCCTCTGTGGTGTAGCCGGGGGCAGCTCGAAGGCGAGCTTGAGTGCTCATTTTGCTAAATGGGGGAATTTGGCGGAGCTTAATGCTGTATGTGCTGATTTCAAATTCCCGTGATGCACTATTTCATTTCGGAATTGATAGAGAGAAAGAGATCTAACGTGATATATTGATCGTGTAGAAAGACTCATCTCAGGAGACAGTCATTTCTCTTTTCGGAATGCTGGTAAGTATTCACATCCCCATCCCAACCCCAACTCCATCAAGAATCCCACTCTAACAAACCCATAGGTCGGATCCGTAGTCATCTCCCACATAACCAGCTTCAGCACAACCTGGCTCCTCCTCCTAATCCTCCTAGCCCTACATCTAAGCATGAACTACGCCGCCGTACGCGCCGTCCAAATGACAAGTCTAAACCGACAGCGCGCGAACATCGTCTTCTCAGCTCTCCTAGACTCAGACAGGGGTCTAGCACTAGTACTCGATCTCGATCCTACCACACCCACCCCATCCGAAAAGAAATTGAAAATCCTCACACCAGCACAGGTATCCAACCACGAACGTATCTTCCACCGAGACGGAGCCTTGCAGTGGACACAGCAGCACTCAAACACGCATACAATAACCCACCATCTAGGATCCGCGCAGATAGGAGTGTCCATGTCTACCTTTCTAGGCGGTTCTGGGTCAGGTAACACATCGTTCCAACGCACCCTCCCGCTACAGCGACTTGCAGCTGTTTTCGCGAATGAGTTTCATATCTTGTTTCTCGTGCCGTTGTCGAATACGGAAAGTGATGCGAAATGGCATGCTTCGATTCTTCTGAAGCGGGGGTGTACCGTTGAACATCAATTGAAGGCGTGGGCTCATGCTTTGCTGGCTGCGAGGGTTCTGGCCCGGATTACAATTGACTCTTCTGTTGATGCGGTTCTTACTGTTGTGGAGGGGACGCTTGCTTTGCTGAATACTGAGAATCGTTTTGAGAGGTATATCACGGGGTTGAGTGGTGTTGGGTGGGATGTTGATATTGCTGCTTTGGAGACGAGGGGTGGACGGAGGATTGATATTTGATATTGATTCTTGGTTTAATGTATACTTACACTTAACACTTATGCTTTCTTTTCTTTGACTTTTGCTTCTGCTTTGTACCTTTTACCTTCATCTTCCACTCGTCCGGATGTATCCTTATAACTACATGTAGTAAATGTAGTGAACGAAGTCACATCAATAAGAAGCCATCCGACGTAGTTCCGAACATCGTATGAGCATTAATCCTCGAAAAGGTTGCGAGGGGGTTACGTGTGCATCTGTACTACAACCATTGGAAGTCTATATTTACGTCTCCCCGAGATCCCGGGCGATATGTCTGAGTGTGGGTGTCCGACGTGTGTGACCAAGAGGATCGAGAAAGGTCTAGGCATGCCTTGGTCTCGGGTGTGAGAAAGGATACTCGGCTGCCTGCTCGGATCACGACTGGTATTATTTCAAGGTCTTGAATTGAGACATATTGGGAATATAGGTAAGAGTCGAGGTCATGGTTGTAGGTGCTGTTGGGTTTGGAATTGCCCTAACGGTCAAATGCATAGCCTTTGCATGTCTGCGTGAGGGATTCAAGACTACAAAGAACACCTAAGTATGGTTTACACTTTATTTACGGTTTTACTGTTTCGGAGCAATTGATGTGAAGAGGGGGTATCAAGTCTATTGATTCCGAATAAATGAAATCCCAGTGGGAGATGAGAGACCAAGATAATGTCTCGTCAAAAACGCCGTGTCCAGAAGACCTGAAGAGCCAACAGGTCTTCCATCCAATCTATAGATGAGAACATGATATGATATATATGGGTTTCTTTTCCCGTGATGCCATCCGCAAAAAAAAAAAAAAAAAAAAAAAGGCCAATAAAAAAAATGACAAGTGAAGCTGGAAAAATGAGGAGATGCTCAGCTGGAGACATCCCATGAGAGAAAAATAAATAAAACAAGAAATAAAACAAAGAAAACGCCGGTTTCATATGCTTTCAATGCGTCATGCTCTCATACACCGCCAATATAAACGCTCGACAAAGGCTAGAATGAAGTCGTGGGATGATGCATTTCGGTATTTCATGCAAGATGTGTTTGAGATGAGAAGTATCGTTGCGGGGTTCGTAGTTGTCGTGAGTCAAGAGACAAAAAAGGGTGTGTGTTTTGTAGGTTTTGTGTATGTCGACAAGGAGTCGGAGTCAAAAAGGGAGGAAAGAGAAGATAATCAGTCGTCAAGACCAAGAATCTTAGGATCGCGACTGCTACCATTGCTGCCACCAGTGGAACGCTTCTTGAAACCCAGCTTCATACCCATCTTCTTCCAAGGGTTCTCGGTGCGAAGTCTGGGGCTGTGGATGGGTAGATGCGGCTCACTGGCAGGCGGGGTGGTGGGCGGTGTCATGGGCTCTTCGGCGGTGGGACTGGACTGCGGGGAGGCAGAGTCATCGGTCAGAGATAGGTAAGCTGACTCGCCGCTAGTGCTGACCAGGGCACCGGAAGTGCGTTTGCCGATGGCATGCACGGTGCCGAGGGACATAGTTGAGCGGTTGTGACCCGTTGCGGAAAGATCCTTGGTGGAGGACTGCGGGGAGATGCGCTTCGACACGCGCGACCGGACTCTTTTCATCGGGTGCTCGTCCAGGCTCGTCGATGATAGACTCATGAAGTCGTCGGGGCCCATGAAGGGTTCGGATGGACCCATGGAAGGGGAGGTGGTGTGGCTGTTGACGAAGGGGGAGGAAGATGGATTCCTCCATCAAGTCGTGGATGCGCTTCACAGCGGAATCTAAGGTCTCGGGCACGGGCGGCGCGGGCACATTCGTGTACTGCAGGAGCGCATCTCGGACTTCGCTTGACAGGTTGATCTCGCGGGGTGACCCCGGGAAAATGTATGCAGTCAATAGGCGTTTCCAGAGCATTCGCAAGTGTTGGGTTTCGGGGCATTCAGATTCCATAGCGGCGGGACCGATTCGTTCGGCCAGAGCGTAGTAGGAATCACGGTATCGGTTGGCCTCCATGGTGAATTCCAATGTTTCGAGGCAATGGTTCTGGGAGAGGTAGGCCATGAAGGCGCTCAAGGTGTATGGGGGAGGAGCAATGTTGGCTAGCACCTCGTTGAGAGTCGGACGCATGGAGAAGGCCCCCGACGAGATGGCCAGGCTGACCGGCCGGGAGCCAGACGATTCCATATCCTCTTCGGAGTCGCTGTCTGAGGAGGTGGGAGACAATTCGGGAGTTGCTGTAGGAGTATGGTTCCGGAAGAAGAGGGACGGAGCCAACGTCTTCTTTTTAAGCATAGCGTATAGTGTGCGTCGGGGACCCTTGATCGGCTTTTTTCTCACCGGTCGTCCCCTGCGTGTGGGACGAGGCTCCAGCTTGGTTAAAAGAGCGGCGGGTTATCGGGATATAGGCATATAGGATTGGCACGGAGGTGGTCAGGGACGAGAGAGTAGAGTGTATAGGTTGTATAGAGACAAGGCAACCTAATATAAAATGGGATCGATAATGACAAAATATGAGAGTAAGACCAAGTGGAAATGCAAGCACTAAAGAAGAAGAATAAAAAGGGCAAAGGGCGGATTCTGGAATCATTCATGACGATACCTTGGGTACTGGGCTATGGGGGGCACCCTCAGTAGACTCTAGTGGACCTTAATGGAGCACGCTAAACTAGTTTCTGCGCCCAAGTGGAGTCCTCTTTCGATAAGATGTCATAATTGTTTTTTTTTTTTTCTTTTTTTTCTTTTTCCCTGTTTGGTCCCCTCTTTTTCTCTTTTGTATTTCTTAATTCGGTTTATTGGGGTCTTTTTTCCGTTCTGGAATTTTCTGATTGGTTTTGACTTTGGACTTATTGTGGCGACACGCTGAACTCTCACGTTTGAACAAGCGCCTAAGATCTGCAAGGGATACTTGTGGAAAATGTAAAAAAGAGGTACAGTCCTCTGTCGACATTAAAATGTACATATGAAATAATGTAAATATCGAACAACCTTGGAAGATCAAGTATTATATAATACGTGTCTGCCTCTCCTTGTTGTGATCACTCCACAATCCTTCCAGAAGTCATACGTGTAAGCTTCCACGGGTTCTGGAAAAAAAGAAAAAGAAAAAGAAAAAAACGACCAATGCGCCCAACGTGGCGAGTTTGAATTTTCGTTCCCCTGAACTCCACCACGGAACACGAGGAACTCTTCCATGATTCAAGATACATTTTTCGCCTACTCTTCTAATTCTACGGCGTACTCCGTACCATTTATGTGTATACTCTATTCCCTTATAAGATACTAACTCTTATATCTATTTCCTAATTCACGATAGACTCTTATCTCCCGGCCACTAGCACGCCATCCGAGACCGGAATGTCAATCTTCGACCCACGGTTCAGTGGTATTATTACTCAAGAATGACTAAACCAATACCAATAAAATACACGATAAGGCCGTGTCACGGCATTCCCTCCCTTGCATCGAGGGTACTCACTCTTCCAAGGTTGCTAAGGTCGCTAAGGTTACTTTGTCTTGCACGTCATCTAAAACCCTTCCCCTGTCACCTTAATAGTAACTTTGTAGTTAATAGAAACTCAAATCAAATTAATAATCTATCGGTACACTCCGTACACTAGTTAGGGCTTGTGTTCAATGCCAATATGGCCCTGCCGATCATTCCAAACCCGGTTCTTGAGATCAGCTGTACCACATTGGAATGTCACACAAGCTTGTCTTAATGTCTCTCTAGAAGGAGTAATTAATATTAATCTCTACATACTCGGGACTCGTGGACGCGTATGTGGAATTCACAGGGATTCGGCAAGGTACAACGTGCAACGTGCCTATGAAAGAAAAGACGGCTGAATTTGGTGGAGGCGAAATATGTGTAGACACCCGAATAGTCTTGGAAGTATGAAAATAGTAATAGAGTCTTAAGTGAACAAAATTTTCAATTCAATGCTACGCTATATTGTATATTGTACTCCGTATAGAGACATATACAGTAAAACTGGTAAGGGACTATATATCCGAACGGTGTGACCGAACCCGGAATTGCCCAGACCTTCTAGAATTCTAGAAACCCTCATCGAAGCACTCTAGTTCTGCCTATCCACCCGATCGCCACATCCGTAAATCCTGAAAGAGGAAAAACGAATAAGACATTAATATAGTGAATGATCTGACCCCCCCCTGGACGGACTCAAGTTCCACACCCAGTCACCCGTGGAATCAGAGTTTTTTTTTGGTAGATCCGGATGTCGCCACTATCATGATTCATGTTCTGTTTCCCGAGTCTACCCATATTGTAGAACGCATACGCATTTCTATGCATGCCAAGCCACACCATCCCTCGCGGTTGACATGGAGATCGTGATTTACGTATTTTCCCCCTAAGATGGAGTACAGTGTTTGGCCGAAATAATGGGCTCATACGGAGTACCTTGCGACATAACCCACATCAAACACCTAAATGTGGGTGATTCTGCCGATTGAAACCGAGGGCCAAGACTTGGGAGCTGGAGAGAGATCTGTCCGGAGGCTTCTAAGGACCTCCGGTCTCATAGATCCACTTCGTCTCTTCTCACCGTAGATAAGAATATTCGAGTATTGTATTATATCTGTTATCACATACAAGATATACAAGATATACACAAACTATGGGGTTGTCATTCGAACCATAGATTGTGTCATAGACCTTTTGTCACGAACGCTCTGGACTGGGATAAGGTTAGTGTGAACATGGCTCAATGAAGCTTGGTCTGCCTATCACCTCACATTTTGGATTTGACAGGTCGAAGATATAAACGTCAAGGCCATGTGCCACGTTTGGATTGCATGACAGAGGCCAGAACATGGAAGATGAGTGATTATAGTAATAGATCCTACCCAGTTGGGTTATGGGGAGGCAAATGCAAGACTGGATCATCCCTATTACTTGTCACCTACTGAGTCCATCTCCAGGCCCAGACTAACAGAATAACCAACTATCATTGCAACCTCGACGGTCAGATAGCAAAAACAGTCAATCTTTTTTTTTTGTGTTATGCAACTAATAAAATTTAATCGGGGCACAGACCGTTGGAGGAACTGTCAAATGCCATACGATATACAGAGTAGAAATATGTTGTACGGAGTACAATAGAACAAGAGAACACCTACAGCGTGCAGATAGATAGGTAAACCGACCAGCGGCATTCACCTACGTTGCAATGCAATGCAGCAAAAAGCAAAATCACGCACGTCAACCCCAATAGTAAAAAAACACCTCAGCGCGATAACGCAGCACGCAATTACCGCAGCTATCCCAGCAAAGCCCAACCACAGATCACGAATCGCAACATACGCGCCTTCTAGCAAAGACCAAGTTAGTCCCATGGAGCCTATCCACCACCTAGGTATTGTGTAGCGAAACGGGGGGGGGAAACCACGAATCCGTATTAAGCAGGGACAGGGATACCAGCGATTGCATAAGATATCCACCCCCAAGGCCCCCTAAGGCCCCCCAAACCCCCCAATTTTTCGATCGTCTCCAGGCTAAGACTAAAACAAAATAGTCCAAAAAGGAAAAAGGAAAAAAAAGGAAAAGATCCACAATTTTCCCCGATGTCCACGGCAAGGCGAAGACAGCAGCCCACATCGATGCGCACGGGATCAGGATGCGCCCTTACCGTGGCCGAGCTGGCCTTCGGTTCCCCTTTTGTTCTTCTTGGCGGAATGGACAATGCGTCTAGAACAATTGGGTTTTCCCGTTTAGCGAGGGAAGTGGATATGTGACTCTTCTCTTTTTGTGTTTTTGTTTTTGTTTTATTTTTTGATTAATGGATCGTGTCTTGCTGTGTGTTTATGTATGGGGTACATTTCCATTAGGACGCTACTGTACGTCCTAACGCTGGCGGGGAATTATTTTGCTAGTTGCTAGTGGGAATGGGGGTGAGGCTTTTATTTTCCTTCGCGTGTTTTCCCTTGCTTTTTTCTCTCTTTTTTTTTCCCTTTTTTTTCTTTTTTATCCCTCCCGTGTATGGGGTATTCGATGCACTCCGGTTCCTTGGGGTTGTGGAAGGCAGATTGTGGCACATCTGCAGATGGCTTCAAGGATTATCACCATGATTACCACCAGGATGTTTGCTGTAGCACCTACGGGGTAGACATGCCGTTTTTCATCACTGACTAGAATGAGGGGGTGGACAGGGGTGTGTGTTATAGTCGGTATTGACTCGTGCATCTACGCCCACATTACTAGTACCTGCACGATCCTTGACGATAATCCCATCCATATCGATCACCCTTGGTGTCTTGCTTGATTTGCTATGTTGTATACACAACGGTCTGCCTATTTTTCGGTCTTTCCAGCCGATATCATCTGTATAATTACAATTATACCACGTATTCGACGCAATGTACTCCGTACATATGTAGGTAGCTACGCTGTACAACATACATGTACAAAGTAAAACAAAGGCAATAGCCAAGCTATAGCTAAACAAGAGTCAAGCAAGGAGAAAATATAATCAACTAAGCAATATGCCCCCGGATCGACCCCTGAAACCTTCTTTAGCCTGTAATATCGTCTCGACAACATATGATGTGCAGCCGATTAGAATGGAGTTACTCAATCATGACAGGGATCGGGGTAATAATGGCAGGGATCGAAATTATCACCGAGAACTATCGTAGACAGTTGAGCCAGTCGCAAAGCAAGAAAATATTGTCCAAGAAGAAGATTGCAGATCCACACGGGATGATCACTGATTTGGAAGAGAAGCAATATATAACGCTGTTCCAGACCAGTAAGACACCTCCACAGCCCCTTCTAGCTGGACTTAACACGAGAACATTGCAAGATAAACAGAACTAAAATACTAAAATACTAAAACAACTAAAATACAAGGAAGAGTCAACCCAAAACAGCACAGCGTAGTCGATCAGACGGCAGATGCCGCAAATGACCTCATTTTTCTCCACAGTTTCAACTGCAATCTTGATTGTTGATGGCGTAGAAATACAAGAATATGAGATAGTTAATATGGAATTAGCAGCAAAAGAACGATCGAGATCGACTCTAGACTCGTTTCAGATCTCAGCTCGAGTTATTTGGGGACTGTTGTGATGATTCTGGGCTCTCTGGAGGTACTCGGTTCCCGGCGCTACGTGAAACACTCACTCAGCTTTGGAGATTGCGAATTTAGGTAATTTATTTATCGTCAGATATGGGAACGGATGTGCTTTTTCCTCTTTGTGGGGAATCTGTTTGAACTAGCTTGTTCTAGGCTTGGTCTTATCACCGTAGGCGCTAAAGGTCATTTCTTATTCGGGTTTTTATTGGACCCTCAACCACAGATAGCTATGACCTTCGTGTTAATTATGGACATAAGATAAGCGACTCGATATACAATTCACAATTCACGTGGTCACCGGCTGCTATTGCGTTACCATATACGACACATGCTCTCCGGTCTCCGGAGAGTCGGGGTACGGGTGTACGGACCTCGGGAGTATATGCTGTGCTTACTGTCTAGGGAATAGCTGTTTCATATAACGCGCCTAGATTGACCTACAACATACCATATTGTGTCAATTGAAATATCTATAGTTAGAATTGGTTGATCGTCGCTTTTGTGAATGTGTACAAATATACTCCGTAGTGTGTGACGGGCAAGTCGATCCCGTACTCCATACTTCGGATAGCATCGGCTTCCACGCACATCACTTCTATAAAGATATTCAGCATCACATGCAGGGTTTCAATAGCCCACACCATCCTTGGATAGTATAAAGATTATGCATAGAAAGGTCTCTTGCGCAAAGTATGCCTTTTTTTTTACCGTCTTCGTGTACACCTAAAAGACACCTAAAAGACACCTGAGAAGGACACCCAAAAAGGGTATCCAAAAAAGAACACAAAAAAATACATGACAAGCCCGCATAAGAGGCTAACTATTCTTGTAATAACAAGGTGCAGTTAACCCTAGTTATACCAAAGTACCAACTGCCTACCCTTATCACACATATACGAGTATACGGAGTACTCAAGTCCACTATACTACATATGTAAACACCCCAAAACAACCCTGCCAATAACCCAAAACCAAGCCCAAGCTCAAACTCAAGCCCAGCTTCAAACCAATAAAAACACCTCTCACCAGCCCAGCACCTAATCCCAAACACCCAAGCCAATCCGAACACAGGAGAACCAGCCCATCCCCGCAGAAAGCCCTCCACCAATCCACGCGCATCCATGCACCCCCAAAAAAAGCAAAAAAGCAAAAAAAAAGCAAACGGGAAAAAGAAAAGAACCAAAAAAAAAGGGAAACTGCTCTGCCTAGCTTCAGCCACGCCAAGACTAAATCGCCAAGCGGGGAAGGAGATAAATGCGGGGAATATGCATTGGCACATTCGCATTAACACTGGAAACACACCCCCATTTACACTATACACTTTAAACATTACACGTTACACTATAACAGGGGCCTATAAGCCCACTGCTACTCGACTCTGACTGGCTGCCCTGTCCGGCATCTGAATTGCTCTGCAAGGTGGACCGAAAGTAGTTCCATGAGCGGGGTTGATGTTTATCCTCTGGACGACGTTGGGTATATATTAGGATTCTGGATGCGGATGCTCTTGGGTCTTGGCCTTGGTTGGGTGGCTGGTGCATATCCGTATTCCCTTGTTGACTGTTAATTCACTGCGTATGTAGGTACAGTTCTGTGGGTGTCATTGGTGGACCGGGGACTGCGCCATAATCGAACGACTTTCCTAGGTTCTCTGGGGTTGGTCTTGGATTTTTATTGGTTGTAGCTAAAGTACGGGGGTGAGCGGGATGGGACATGGGTATCTGTGGACTGTGCGGGAGGAAGGGCTTGCTTATGGCTTGCTTATTGGGTCATGGGGTTACTATCTCTGTTGGTATCTATGCTTTATGGCAAGGGATACAAGTTTCTGTGATACTCTTGGATATGGTGGGGTTAGAGTTTGTGTGTCTGTCTCTGCAGAGTCTGGGGATGATGATCAATGATCGACGGGGTTTTACACAGTAAACTTGGTGTTAACAGCCTATGTTGATGGCTTTTGGTTAGCAATTGAAATCATATGATGGTTATTGACACATTCTTGCTAGTCTCAAGATGGAGATGCCGGGCAGTGAGGTTACTTTGCTTTACATTTCCCCATGCACATATTCTGCACTACTGGATTGGGCAAGGGTTGTCGTCGAGACATACTACTTTGGGCATATCATAGAAGGATGTCATGGTCTCTGGACTACTCCACCCCGTTTCAAGAAGGTTACTCTGTTGGGCGACCCTACGTCATGCTATGACATGCCACGGACTGGTGATCCTTGCATTAGCGTATCATGTAGAGCTGCAGAATGGTCACGTAGTGTGGCTGCACACAATGTTGTCAATTGGATATCAACCGAAAGCTTATGATTGTGAGAGCGAGCAGAGAAGTGGCGAATTGGAGATGTCAATGAAGGATCAATGGTATTGAAAAGGCCATAATACAACGGTGGGATATACATAGTTTGAGAGCGTGAAAAGGTGGATATGTATTCTATACTGCTACTTCACTTGTGTGGATAGACTTCCAGCTACTTGACTTCATGTATAGTCGTAGGCACTATCTAGTTTATGTAGAGCTATATATTTTTACAATACTAGCAAGGCAATTGATGGTACCTTCGAAACACTCCTTTACTACTAGTTGTTCTATAGAAATATACCCCCTGACTCTACAGTGTCAACATGATATGACTAAGAGGATATATGGCTATTGGGTTACAACAGAAGCCTACATGAGACCCCTTTCCTGCCTAGTGTATGCCTGTAGAGCATACGGTCATGGAAATGACAAAGGATATAAACAGATTTGATTTCCGATCCATGTGCCAGCTTCGGAGGCATATCGGTATATTCCCCACCAGACCAACAAGTATAAATAAAGCCAATGAAACCACGTAACAAACTATCGATCTATAACTATTGCCAGGCTAGACCAAGAGAGAGGATATAAAAATGCAACAGCTCTTATTACAGGAATTATTTATATACGCCGTACGAATAACTGCAAAAGACGTGTAAGAACAAACCAAATGAAAAAAAAGAAGAATGCTATCTTATGCCTACCAGTAACAAAAAACTCGCTTCTCAAACAGAGCAAGAAAAGACAAAACAACAAAAGACAATTATAGACATGGACGATAGATCTTTGGAACAATCAAAAGGCAGAGCACGCGGTTGATGGGAAGGGGAACGGGGAAAGGGACGGGGATATATGCAACATGCTCTTCCTCCAGTTTCTGCATGCAATAATAAAAACCACGCAGTGGAAAGGAATTTTTCTCCCCCAGATGCACACAGGATGGGAGGGAATAGCAAGAATGACAATGACAGGATCATGGTAGACGGACCGGAGGAAATAAAGCACCCAAATAGAAACGAGAGTTGTCCGGTGTGCTTGTCCAATTGAGGAACGGGACGAAATGAGACCGAGAGATGTATACTAGAGATATGGACAAGCATGGCCCAAGACCAGTCGATTCTGATTGTCATCTGCCGTAACCCGGTTCATCCCCAGGGTGGATTTGTGTCATTGAGCCTTGCCAATTCTTGTGCGGGGGTTGAAGCTATTGATCCAAGTTGTTTGTCTCGTGAGCCAGCGCAAGAAACAAGGCCCCAGGGCGGCGTGCCGCAAATCAATGGCATCGAAGGATCAACCGATGAGTACCCGCCCATTTGAAAGACTAAGGGTTGATATTAAACGGTGCACGCCGGATATAGTGACGAGACGAGGAGGCGAAATCGAAAATACAAGACAAAACTCTCACAAGTTCGCCGTTCCGAGTCGTAGCACCATGAAAGAGTGATGAGACGTAACATCAATGAGAGAAAGGTTGTTCCTACCCACAGTCAAATGTATAAGGCTGAAGGATCGAATGGGACAAAAAAAGAGTATGGCCAGAAGGTGATATAGGCCGAGAAGCGCGATTCTTGCTCGGCGAAGCGGCGCTAACCACTTGAACACAAGGTAAGAAACGAGCGAGAGGTGAAAGAAAACAAGAATAAAACAAAGAAATCCCATGCAGACCTCCTTAGGCCATTTTCTGACATGAAGGGCAGGAAGCAGAGGTGAAAGCGTGGCGCGGTAGGTCTAAATGCGCCATCGCTTCATTTGACTGGAATTCAACCTGGATCCTGAGATGAGCTGGGCGCTCGAGTGACGCAGCACAGCTGAATCACCTACCGCAGCACAGAGCCTTCATCAACTTCTGTGTGAAAGTGGGTGGCGATTCAGGGGTACCTGGGGCACCAAGGGGTTGTTGGCTACTCAGCCCCGGATTCCCTGGACTTCCGTTCCGACCGGGGAGGTGGGCGTTGGAGTTTTGGAACTGTGCCTGAGTTGACGCGGCCGGAGTCGATGCTTCCACCCCCGCGCTCTGGCGTTTGGGAGGCATGCCGCCGGCGCTTGGGCGCTCGCGCGTCTTTCCAGCTCCAACTTTGGCTGGAGAAGGAGGCGGGGGCTGCGCGGCGTTTAAACGGTCGGCTGTCACTCCCGGGCGCTGGCTGTTGCGAAGCTCTCTTGCATGCAGGTCGCGACCGGACGAGCCCTGGTGCTGATTGTGGAGATGCGCCTGAGATGAATAGGACTTGTAGTCCCAGCCCCGTCCGTTGTTGAGCTTCATCCAATCATACTCGCCATCCTCGACTTCACCGGCGTTCTTGAGAGCTTGTGTCAAGATATCACGGAGATAATCATAGTCAGGAGTGTCCTCGAAACCAAGGTTGCGGACGTAGCTCAGGTATTTGTTAAATTCTTCTGGCGAAGTGATCAGTAGCTGGAGATGGATATGGAGGAAAGTGAGATAACATACCTGGATAACTATCGCAAAGGTCCTTGATTGCCGTCGTTTGCTTCTTCTCACCAATCTTCTCGTACTTCTGCTTGTTGGTAGCAGCCTTCAGGCCCTGCCATGGAAGGCCACCCCGCAA